GAGTCAGAGGGAAGACAGAGGTGACGACTGGATACAGGATCAAACTGTGAGGCTAGGAGATCTGTAAAGAAGGTGGAATTTTAGTCTAGGCAAGTTCCCAACGCCAAAAACAGAGTCTTACTAAGAAAGGAGCGAGGCTGAACTTCAGACTGGGATATCTCACTTGAAACCCTCAATTCACTGCTTAGCCTTGATTCTAGGCTGCTCTACCTCCCACCTATGGAGAGGTCTTAGATGAGGCAGAGGTCTTACAAAACAATGCCTGCCCTCTTCGGGATCTGCCCCACCTACCTTCTTCATCATCCATAGTTAGAGAAGAATGTGACACATTTTCAAGTGAAACCACTTTCTAGTTAGAGAAATATTTGGGTAATGATAGTGATTTGAGTAAAAAAGTACTTATGCTTAAAATTCAAAAATCCTTATGGGAAAGCTGACCCTTATTTATTACACTTGGTATGAGCCATGCTAATCAGGCCAGCATTAAGCAAAGCCTGACTGTGTAAGGGCTTGGCCTTCTACAGGAGGAGATGGATTATATGCCAGACAAGCTGCAAGACTCAGTTGATGTGTACCAGCAGGAAAATGGAAAATATATGCCCAGGGGTGTATTCTGAGAGTGCCGGAACAAAGAGGACAGACTAGAGACTGAGAAATGGAGTTTTGGATACGAGAATATTTTCTCATGATACAGGATTTAACACCCTGGCAATGGGCTTAGCAAGTATTCCTAATGCACTGCTGGATTGGCCCTTGTAATCTTGGGAAATTAAATGGCCCACACTAATTGATGTGGGGAACCTAGAAATCTAACAGACTGGAGTAAAGGATAAAAAACTCAAAGAACTGGGCATACTAGATTGGTTCCACCATAAAAGACTGGAAATCCACGAGATGACAGTTTCCCAAGACGAAAAGAAATGTGCTTGTAAGGCGGACACCAGCATCACTGAGAACTCAGCCGTGGTGGTCCTTTCACCTCAGGGCTGATGGGATGACAGGAACCCAGCATAGCAAAAGCCAGGTGGCAGCACTTCACTGCCGGAAGAAATGTGGATGTAATTACCAAAATAAGAAGCAAGGTCTGAACAGCTGCCAGGGGCACCTGGCTTGCCGTGATCAGTGGAAATGCTAGAGGAACATGACGTTCTCAGGTCAAAATGGATAGGCAGCCAGCAAAAGAGCTGGATGTATACAGGGTCCCCCCACAGTCCGAAAGTAGAGCATTCCTTTGAAACCTTTCCTAAGACGAAGTGGCACATAGTGAACCTGCAGTCACCTTAGGGGAACAACTTGTCAAGGGATGCACAAAATAAATTGAGATAAAGCACCGACGCTCACACGGTTCAAAGGTACAGAGGCTTGATGCTGAGAAGCTGAGCATAGTTCCGGGAAGGGAGCTTGGCGGTGCCGCTCTTGCAGCTCAGGGTGTGCTTTTTCTGTAAAGACTCCCTGCAAAACAAACACTGAACCCAATTTTTGCTTTTTACCTATTTTTTGTAAAAATGAAAATCCTCTTCAGATTCCTTTCAGTTAGTGAAAACAGGTACTAATGTAGGTCTTCTGTAAAAGTGAAGTGGCGAAAGGCAAACTTTCAAAAAGCAGGAAATAACCTTATGCATCAACAATGAGTAAGCAGGATGCTCCCTGGTGTACAGTCAAAATGCTTAGCTTGGATTTTAGAATTGAGCCTACGTTCAGATGTAGAACTGTTTGATTAAAGGAGAGGCTGGGTATCCACAAGGGCGGATGACAACACGTGCTGTTGCTGCCCCTTCATAGGGCCAGTTTTCCCTTTTGTCAGATGCTGGGAGTAGTGGTTTCTGAGGACTCACAGCTGCCCCTCGTACAGCATGTTGGCTTCGGAGGAAGGAAGCTGCCTTGCTCAGGAGCTCATGTGCCCCCTGATCTCCAACTCCAGGGGGCTGTCAGAGGGGACTGACTGGCTGGCACAGGGTGCAAAGGGCTGGCCCCCTTGCCTCAATCGGGACTAGAGGGGTGTTACAATTGATGCTCCAGGATGCAGCTGGTCTCCAGATGAGACCACATCCTTGCTTGGCTTCCTTTCCCTGCCCTACTTTCTTTCCTCCTTTCCCTTTTTCCTAAAAGTACGCCCTTGAAAAATCACTTTCACTGGTGTTTTCACCAAGGCACTATTTGGGCTCTTCTTTTAGAAAACTCAACTTTAGAACTGTGTTCAAAGTGAAAATCCTATTTGCAACTAGAGGCAAAAGAGGCCTGATGGAAGGTTTTCGTATCCTGTGTGCTCCTCTCAGTGTCTGATCCCCAGCTGAAGGACAGTAAAATAATCCTGGCTCTTCCAGTTGCCAGAGTGTACAAGTGATGGCTCCTCTACATACACCTTAGTTCCAGCATCTGTAAATTTAAAATAATAATAGTGTATGTGAAATAGTACATCCATGAAATATACTCATCACAGGGTCTGGCTCAGAATAAGTGTTCATACATGGTAGCTATTTTTATTATTTATTTTGTAATAGCTATTAGGTGCTATGCCTTCATAAGACCCACAGTAAGATTTCATTTTAATGATACTTGTAAACATCAAATGAATGCTTATCTATGTG